AGAGCTCAGCTTCAGGGAGATCTGATCCTTGAATGCATCACTGACACACTATGGACTTCTCAGTGATAGCTGCAAAGTTTCTCCAGCCATTGACCTCCATTCTCTCATGTCATGCAGGCTCTTCCTGAAGGGGAACGCCCAGGAAGAGGATCTCAACTCTAGAGACACAGGTGTTTTGTTTGTGACCCATTGATTCATCCAGGACCCTGGAAGAAATCCAGATAGTAAGACTGTTTAAAGGAGCCTCATGGTTTCCTTTTGTTCCTAGTTAAAACAAGGTATCAAATGGTCACAAGTGCCCTGGAACCAGCTGTGTCCTGAGACTACCCTTGACCTGCTAATCTTCCTTGTCTACACAAGGTGCTCAGATTGTGAGCTTCATTCCAATAAGCCAATGATCACCAAATACAGCATTTTCTTTATTTTACCTTGTAACTAATTTTGTGAGTTTGTGAGTGGCTGTTTTCTTCCATATATATATATATATATATATATATATATATGTATATATATATATCTTTATGTTTTCATAAGATATATATATCTTTATGTTTTCATTTGCAAGTAAATATGAGAATTTCCACATGATCAAAATATTTTCTCCAAAATATTTGCCCAATACTGGTAGACGCATAAGCTCACATTATTACCAACATGGAACTCTGGGGTCACTGTTGTCAAGTTTAAACTGCTCGCACTCTGAGTCCTGAGTCCTTGACCAGGAAACTTCTTAATATAGTGAGAATGGATTCCTAACCAAAGGCAACCATATCAGGATCTGAGAATCCAAAGTAGAAGCTCACAGGAAGGACACTGCCCAGACCACACAGCAGCCATCCCTTAGCTCCAGGTGAGCGGCTGAGCTCTGAGTTACTGCAGAGAGGTCAGAACTAGAATATTCTAATTCAACACAGAAGCAGAAGACACCATGTTGAATGGAGTAATGAAAATAAATAAAATTTCAGTGCTATCACTTCTTAGCCTTATATGCACTGCGTGCAGAAGAGGAGAGTGGTTTGGACAACACAGATGCTTACTGTGACTGAGCCAGGCTCCACTTCCACTTGGTTCCCTCTGAAATACTAAAACTGTTCCTGTCCAGGGTCTGCCCCAACCTCAGTATGAGGGAAAAGTCCATGTGAGTCTCCAGAGCTTCCCCAACGCCTGACCACAGAGAATCACTCTTCCCTCATAGACACTTTCTGCATTTGTTCAGAGAGTACTAGGTGGCATATTTGTTTTAAGAATATTTGTCAAAACAGAAGCCATAAATTTTAGAGGCGCTGGTGAATTCCAGAGTCTATAATTATTAAAAGGATCCCAAAATAACAGTAAATAGAGAGGACACCCAGATAAAACAGAAAAATAAATAAATCAATTATGTCTGAATCTGGGCTTTATGTGTGCTGAGCGCCCCCTGCTGGTCATGGGAGCCGGGCAGGGAGGTTTTTGTCTGGGCTCACACTGAAAACTCCTCACTGTGTCAGCTGTACAGTAGTAAGTGGCCGTGTCCTCAGTTCCCAGGTTGTTCATTTGCAGGTAAGCCATGCTTTGGAAATCATCTCTGGAGATGGTGTATCTTCCTTTCACCGAATCTGAATAATAGGTTGCATAATTATTAGGTTTAGTGTTTATGTTCGCAACCCACTCCACCCCCTTCCCTGGAGCCTGGCGGACCCAGTTCATCCAGGCAGCACTGAAAGTGAATCCAGAGGCCGCACAGGAGAGTTTCAGTGACCCTGCAGGCTTCACCAATCCTCCACCAGACTCAACCAGCTTCACCTCACAGTGGACACCTGCAAACAGAGAGGATCCTGATGAAGAAACTGTCACAAAGTCTACTGTCTCTCTCACTCCCTCACACACTCAGCATCCCGTGTTATCTACCTTTTAAAAGAGCAAAAAAGAAAACCCAGGGCAGCCCCAACCCCATGTTGATTGTCGTGTTTTCAGTGCTGCTCACTGAATGGGAAGACAGGGCTGGAGTCCTCTGCCTGACCTGCGGGGTGAGGCCAGGCTGGTTTTATGAGCAGAGGGAGGCTGTATTTGCATATCTTCCTGATATATATTATTCTCTGGTGTGTGAGAGCATTAGAGGCAGCAGGTAATGGTGCAAATTTCTGAGAGAAAATGAACCGGCGAGGGCGATGATTTCATTAAAATATTTTCATAATGTGTTTATAAAAAGATTCAACATCCTTAACTTAATTATTTTCTTTTTATACATGAACTCTTCACCGTGTATCTTACCAGATATTATACAGTAAGTTCATAGAAGTTTAAAAATTATACATTGCAATTTGAATTCAAGGGGAACTAATGTAAAAATGGATGAATACTGAAGTGTACATTAAATTACAGCATTGAAACTGGGCTGGGACATGACAGTGGGAAAGTTTAACATGCACAAGGTCACAAGTTTCATCCTGAGTATAGTATATCATATATATATATATATATATATATATATATATATGTATATTAAATAAACATTAACAGTACAGAGGCTATTCCTTGTTAAATACTAAACACATCACAAAATGCTTTTACATATATGGCATATGTTTGTGTATGAGCTGTGTTAGTTAACATCCTTTGCATTTGTGCCATTAGATTTCATCAAACTATATATGGGTTCCTTGTGTGTTATTACCACAGGAAGAAAATGAGTCTGTTACCTGGTCTTCAGTGCCATGGTTTTAATGTATTCCCATCTCTCCAATTTTCTGAGGATGCAGGACTTTCCTGGAGATGTGGGGTCAATCTCAAGAGGAGGACCCTTGGAATAGTCACCCCTGGATTAGAAAGGGGAATTGTGATGTAATTGTTTAAGTGATTAATTAATTACAGAAACCCTGTTATGGCTAAGAGTTCTTATGGACTATGACTTTTCTGTTTCTGTGCCATTTGCAGGAAAGTGACTTCATTTAGAGCAACTAAATGAAGGGAGCTGCTGATTTGGAATCATTTCTGCTTTGAGTCCTTTGGTGACCATTCATGTCTCTGACAGGTGTCACTCAGTCAGCCCGGTTATGTGTGGATAGCAAAGTGAATAAACTCCAGACAGACGCGGGGACCTCCCTGCTGTTTCCACTTTGCATCTGTCCCACAGTCTCCATCACACAACAAGTCTCCATGGCAACAAGAAAATTAAAATAACTCCCTGGGATCTACCATGGATTTAAGTTGGAAATCAACAACTACCGAAAAATAGAAAGCCTACAAACTCATGGTAACTAAACCACTTCCTCCTGACTGACTCCTGGGTCAAGGGAGAAATAAAGAAAGAAATGAGAGACCTCCTAGCATTCAATTACAATGACGGCACAACACATCCAAACATTGGGACACTATGAAAGGAGTGATAAGAGGAAAGTTCATAGTACTATTTGCTGCATAAAGAAATTAGACAATTCTCACACAGCAGACTTTATTGACCACCAAGCGTGTGAATGGGTCTGACCTAGGGTCTCTGCATATATGTGTCAGATGTGTAGTATGCATGGTCTTCTTGTGGGACACATGAAAGTGTGAGCAGGGCTGTCTGTGACTCATCTGCTGACTTTGTGACCATCTTCCTCATGCTAAATTGTGTCATCATCCTGACATGCCATGTTTTGTTGATATCCATGGGAGGCATGCCCTCCACTGAAGAGAAGTGGATGGGGGGTAGGTGAAATGGGCAGGGTTTTGGAGGAATGGAAAGAGGTTAAACAACAGTTTGTTAAATAAATTAATGAATAGAAATAAATGCATATGTATTTATAATGTCATATTGAAATAAGGATCCTGAAACATAAGTTATCATATAACTGCAGAGGATATAGAATCCATATGGCACAACCAATCAAATCAGGGATACTGTGAGTAATCCAAAGTGGACTATGGAGTAAGAGAAACATAAATTAGGAAGCTATTATAAAACAAAAAAGTTTGGATAATCAACAGTTCATAGATCCATAGTTTTGTATTTCAGATTTTCTTTAGTTTGGGGTAAACTTTTTGGTTCAGATTTTGGTGTGTTTTTATGGATCTGATGGTGTATTATTGTTACAAAAATAATAGATTTCAGAAAATTGTATGGAAAATTAGTGATGCCGACGAACTTCTCATTTAGTTATTAGTGTTGTCCCACTGCTTGTTCTGATCATGCTCTAGTTTTTTGTGAGATATGTGCCTGCAGAAAGATGAGAGAAAAGAACATGGATGAGATTTCTGTTTATATTAACTTCTGAGTCTTTGAAAAGAGGTAAATGCATGGTGGACAGTGCAGATCACAGACGACCTGAGTGATTAAATGAAGACCACTGTGATGGGCACATGAAAACTCCCTATGAGGCAAAGGTCAGAGATGCCCCAGAGGTCCTGAGGAGGATGTGAGATATTGCATTGCTCTCACTTCCCCACTATAACTCCATAGACCAGTCTTGTTTCTAAGAACAAAATGCAAAACTGAAGAGATTGTAAGAGCCAGAGACAGAGGACGACTCCAAGGAAACAGTGTCTTCTAGAGAAATCAGGATTGATCGATACACACATGAACTCAGATACTGTGAAAGCCTCACAGTGCTGCCTGATGGTTTGGAGAGTTGACTATTATAAGTTTGTTTTTGGGCTCACACACAATGCCCAAACTATGACTCTGCCTTCTGTCTTCATTATCTATGTTCTTTTGAGTAAATATTTCAAGGATGAATGGTGAGCTGTGCCTCAGTTGTTTTCCAGATCCATGAAACCCAGTCTGTTCCTTGGTGTTGTTGTACCTAGATGTAGCTATGACCACTAATGATGAACTGAATTGACAGACAGCACAACTGGTGGACGGTGTCTACAAGTACTCTACCAGGCCAAATTCCAAACACTCTGCAGAACAAATTGAGCACGTGGTATCTAATGGCCTCTGAGAGTTAATGGTGCATCAGTACAGGTCCATGGTCTATAAAGGCTTGAGACTGTGGGAGAGGTGATTGATATTGGGAATCAAATAAATGTGGGACCAATGAATACTCTATGACCTCAGAACCTCCCTCAACGAACATGCACATACATTGATTTGATTAAAACATTTTGTGAAAAGTAATGTAATAATACTATTGAACAACTAATAGGATTTATAGTTATGTGGTGGTGATGTTGCATTTTGATACATAGCTCACATTTGAAGAGACTGGAAATTCTGCTTGGTTACACAGCAAGAGTTTATTATAACTATGATTCATATACTGGTTTATTAAAATCAACACTAACAAAAATCCCAGTAGAAGATTGTCCAGAGATATTTTTACTATAATGCAGAATCACACTTTTTACTTTTATTATTTTATTAATGAAGAAACAAGTCAACAGAGGCGGTCACTAGAGAAGAGATTGTCAAGGTATGCTGTACACTGGGGCATCCTAAATCAGATTCACCTCATGCAGAGTTGTGATTTTGAGATATTAGTAGGACTGTGTGAACTAACAGCCAAAGGGACACTCAGTATGTTTATTTTTAAGTAAGACTCCAGGCTGATCTTCTCTATCATCACAGTCCCAGGGCAGCTTCCTGCTCCTCCAGGGTTTCTGACACACTCAGGATGTGGTTGCAACACTGTGTCTTTCACACAGTAATAGACAGCAGAGTCCTCAGATGTCAGGCTGCTGAGCTCCATGTAGGCTGTGCTGGAGGATTTGTCTACAGTCAGTGTGGCCTTGCCCTGGAACTTCTGATTATACTTTGTATTACCATTTCCAGGATAAATCCATCCAATCCACTCCAGACTCTGTCCAGGCTTCTGTTTCACCCAGCTCATAAGATAGCTAGTGAAGGTGTAGCCAGAAGTCTTGCAGGACAACTTCACTGAGGACCCAGGCTTCACCAGCTCAGCCTCAGACTGCGGCAGCTGGACCTGGGAGTGGGCACCTGTGGGGACAAAGGCAGAGTGGATGTCACTGTCACCTGAGTGCATGGCCCCTCCTCATGTCTGGAACTTGGAGCCCTTACCTGTAACTCCTGTCACGAGGAAGAGGATGATCCAGCTCCATCCCATGGTGAGGACCTGT